CACTTATAAAGTTTGTGGACGATACCAAGCTGGGAGGGGTTGCAAGTGCTTTGGAGGATAGGATTAAACTTCAAAATGATCTGGACAAACTGGAGAAATGGTCTGAAGTCAATAGGATGAAATTCAATAAGGACAAATGCAAAGTACTCCACTTAGGAAGGAACAATTGGTTGCACACACACAAAATGGGAAATGACTGCCTAGGAAGGAGTACTGCGGAAAAGGATCTGGGGGTTATAGTGGACCACAAGCTAAATACGAGTCAGCAGTGTAACACTGTTGCAAAAAAAGCAAACATCATTCTGTGATGTATTAGCAGGAGTGTTGTAAGCAATACACGAGACGCAATTCTTCCGCTCTACTCTGCGCTGATTAGGCCTCAACTGAAGTATTGTGTCTAGTTCTGGGCGCCACATTTCAGGAAAGATGTGGACAAATTGGAGACAGTCCAGAGGAGAGCAACCAAAATGATTCAAGGTCTAGAAAACGACCTATGAAGGAAGATTGAAGAAATTGGGTTTGTTTAGTCTGGAAAAGAAAAGACTGAGGGGGGACATGATAACAGTTTTCAAATACATAAAAGGTTGTTACAAGGAGGAGGGAGAAAAATTGTTCTTCTTAACCTCTGAGGATAGTTCAAGAAGCAATGGGCTTAAATTACAGCAAGGGAGGTCTAGGTTGGACATTAGGAAAAACTTCTTAACTGTCAGGGTGGTTAAGCACTGGAATAAATTGCCTAGGGAGGCTGTAGAATCTCCATCATTGGGGATGTTTAAGAGCAGGTTGGACAAACACCTGTCAGGGATGGTCTAGATAATACTTAGTCCGGCCGTGAGTGCAGGGGACTGGACTAGATGATCTCTCAAGGTCCGTTCCTGTTCTATGATTCTATCCCTGCCACCCGCCATGCACTTTGGGGTGAAATGGGAAACAGGATGTCTTCGCCGCTCACTGACCATGAGTAACGAGAACTGTTACTGCAGTGTTGCCTCCAGCACTGAAAAGTGACTCACTCACATGGGAGAATCCCCTTCACTTCCCCCCCCACCGCCTCCAAGGCCCCATGTTACAGAGACCCGCCCTTTGGCTGAGGTTCCCTCCAGAACTCACCCACATTGCACTGGGCGCTGGCCAGCTAGGATCGCTCTGAGTGACACCGGGCGCTCAGAGCATGTGGTCTCAAGGCCGGCTATCCGGATCTTCCCCATGGCTGCTCTGCATGCAGCCCTTGAGCGGCCCGGCCAGCCCACAAAGGGACACTTGCCAATACAAGAACAGGGTGTGTGGGAGGGTGGCTGGCTGAGAACTTGTCTCCATGATAGTTGCGGGGTAGAACTAGGTGTTAATTTCAATCAATGGAGTTAAACCAACACCAAAGGCCCCAGGGACACGCCTATGAGTGGCTTATTGTGGTTTAAGTTCAGCCTGCTTGTAAGAGATGGAGCTATGATAAATTACCCCACTTCCACACCACAATACAAGCAGCCTTTTACACTGCTGTAACTGTTCCTTTAGAGCCCCATTCAGGTTATGCCCGCGCAATGCTCTCATGCAGACACGCCAAGAGAGGGAGCAGTGCCCTCAAGCGGCTTTCTGAAGCATTAACAATACAAACCAGAGCAGCTTATTGGAATAGCCACATTTCTCTCTTGAATGACTCCGTCTCCAAGGCGGCTCCTGGATTCAGACGCCCAGGAGTCACGCTGCTGAGCCGCACAACCTCCTTTGCTTCTCCTCCTACCTAGGCAGTAAGAGTTCAGGTCGGCAGATTAAGCCCTGCACTGGCAGAGCGAGTGAGCAGATGCTGTGGGACCAGAACCAGGCTCCAAACACCATCAGAGCTCGGGAAGGGGAGGGACTGTTCAAAAACTGGCTCTGGGCTTTGTTGCTTGAGCCCATCTTTGCATTTCCCCCCACTCCACCCACGTGCTCCCTCATTCTGCTGGGTTCCTTGGAAAGGGAGCGTGTTCAGCACACAGCGAACTGTCCACACAGCGAGGGGCTTCACAGCACCAGGTCGATGGGCTCCCTGCAAACAGTCCTCTGGCTCGTCTCCAGGAGGTCAGCAAGCGGCAAGTGTGCACCATTTCAACCTCCGGCTCGAGTCTGGTACAGCAGGACCTCGATCCGTGGCGGATTCTCTCTCAAGGGACAAACCAATTCCTCTCGCATGGCGGAGAAGAGAAGCCCCAGTGTTGGGGCTTCCACCCCCTAGTGCAGACCATGCCCCTCTCCCCAGGTGGCCTGGGACAGGAATATTTGTTTGGACGCCATTTACTGCTGTGGCTTTGGGCTGCTGGCCCTGTGCAGGAAGGGCCATGTGCCTGGGCTCCGTTAACCAGCTGAGGGCTTGTTAACCGGGAAGCCTTCAGTGCAGCGACTACTGAAAGGAAAACCCCGCCGATGCCTGAGCAGCAAGCCCCCCTTCCACCAGCCCCTCCTGCCACTGAGCCGACACCATGAGACAAGGGACCAGGCCCTGCCCCAGAGTGCAAAGCAGTGCGAGGGAATGGCCATGGTCCTTGCCAGGATACGCTGCTCTCCCACCTCCTGTCTCGTTTGTGGCTTACCCGCAGCCTCTCACACTGACCGCCCTGCAAAAACTGCTCCTCACGGAGCAAATGCTCTGCTCTCCCGCCCCCTCGGGGCCAGGGCTGGCTCTCAGCGGGTTTCATTCTGTCGGGTCAGGATGTGCAGATCACAGCAGAGCGGGGGGAGGGGGGGGAGGAGTCCCCAGGCCCCCATGACAGAGCCACTCTTTATTCCTTGACACTCCCCCACCCCCTCCTTGGCCAGCAGTGGAGCATTCCCATCAGGTGGCTGCTGTCTGAGATGAGAAGCACAAATCCCAGCTGTCCTCAGCACCCAGAGCTGGGTTCCACGTGGGCCGCCCTGGGCGCTCAGTAACTGGTCAATCACCTTTCTAAGGTTCTCCTTTAACCCCTTCCCTCCTCTACAGACACCTCTGTGGGGCAGCCCTGACCCACGGCCCTGAGCAGGGCTGGAGCTCAGTCCTTGGAGATTCCAGGGGCCAGCTCAGCCCGAGTGTAACTGGGAGCAACCCCGATCTCAGGAGCGTCTCATCCCCTTACACCAGGGGCTGAACTGGAGCATGTGAATTACAACCCGCCGCACGTTGGCTTTGGCCTGTCACATCCGTGCTCTGCACAGCGCTCAGCCCCTGGGGAAACCGGAGCCCTCCCCTCTCGCTGGGAGGGGTGCCACCATGGAGCCCTGGCTCTCTACCTCAGCCATTCCCTTCCCAGGCTTGGGCCCAGTGGAGTCCCCTGATGGCCTAGCGTGACCGGCGCCTTGTGCAATAACACACAACGAGCACCAGCCCTGGAGTTTAATGCTGTTCCTAATTACTCAGAACACATGCCCGCGCCTGGCCCACAGGGTCTCTGCTCCCCTGGGTGCCGACGAGGGAATCCCATGAACGCTGACGAGAGTCGCTAGTGCGTGTGGAGGGCAGCGGCTGCCCTCTTCCTGCTGGGATGATCGTTAATGATCAGGCCCCTTACACAAAGCTCTGCCCGCAGTTCCCCCCGTGGAGCCTCCCCAGACCTGTAGAGGGGGGGACTGGCCTCACCGAGAGAAGAATTTCATCCCAAACGTTGAACGGTAAATTGCTGCTCCAGAAATCCACCGCCAGGTAAGGCAGGTCTCAGTCCCCTCCCGCTGTTAGTGGTGCTACAATCCAAGCCACTCCAGCCGGGGGCAAGGTGCAGACAGAGCCTCACTGGGGTGTGTGGAGCCAAGGTCCAGCGAATGGCAACAGCTCAATCTCCCCCCCAGCAGGCCCCTTGCAGAGTCCAGGACCACTGAGGAGATGAGGCGGCAGCTCTGGAGCAGTGAGGGATAAAAAGACAGCGGGCTAGTGCCAGCCCAGCTCGGCTGAAATGGAGTGGGGCTAGCACCATTCGAATTCAGCCAAGAGGTTTTCGGGATCTCAAGGAATCTCCTGGCCGCAGAGTGAATCACCGAGCGCCCTTTGGGGGAGGAGGTGGGAGTCCCTCACAGATAGTTGTCTTCCTCCTCCTCCTCCTCCTCCTCCTCATCACGTGCCAGGGCCTCGATGTCGTGGGTGATGTCCGTGATCATGCGGTTGAAGGACTCCGACTCGGAGCGGAGGGACCAGCTGTCGTAGCTGCGCACAGCGGAGGCGGAGGTGTTGCTCATGCTGCGCTTTATCCGCCCAAAGCTGTCGGTCAGGATCCCCCCTTCCCGGATGCCGATGCTCTCCAGGAAGCTCTCGAAGTAGCCGATGTCCTGATCTGGGATGAAGGGCCGCATTCCTGAGGGGACACACCGCCATGAGGCGCGGCCAGGAGCCGGCAGGCGCTTACTGCCCTGGGAAGTGTTCATGTTCCCGGGGGCCAGAGGGGTCGGGGGACCCCACAGGCCACCCCCTTGGTCTGCATGTTTAAAAGCAGCTCAATACCAACAGGCTGGCCTAGCAGGTACAGGAGGGGAAGGGGTGTCAAGAGATCCAGCTGCTACTCCCTGATCTGCCCTGGACTCCCTGTGGGACCCGGGCACATCTGTCCATCATGAGGACTGACCTGGGCCTTCCTTTCCACAGCATCCACACACCTAGCGCTCCTTAATGGATTTAGCCTCACACCCCGTCTGGGAGCACAGGGCTGTCCCCTCCATCGTACAAAGTGGGAACGGAAGCCCAGAGACTTCCCAAAGTCACACCAGCCGGCTGCAGGAAGCTGTCATGACCGCCCTGCAGGGCACGGGGCCCTACCACTGCTTTCAGGATCCTGACAGCATCTTCCACACACCAGGCCCCTTACACAAAATAAGACCTAACAAAGACATGCTCTGCCCTTACAGATGCTGCCTCCCCCGCCCTTATAGACACCGCCTCACACCTACGTTTGCCAACAATCTAGTGTCCCCGGGAGTCTCCCGGAATCGGGCTCTATCTCCTGGAGGCTACGGAAGCCAATCCGGGAGATTTTAGGTGCTAGGTACAGCAGGGCTAAGGCAGGCTCCCTACCTGCCCTGGCTCCGCACCGCCCCCATAAGCGACCAGCACGTCCCTGCGGCCCCTAAGGGGGAGGGGCAGGGGGACTCTGTACGCTGCCCCCGCCCCGAGCACCGACTCTGGCGCTCCAAGCCCCCACCGCTCCAGGGGCCGCAGGGACGTGCCGGCTGCCTATGGGAGCGGTGCGGGGCCAGGGCAGGTAGGAAGCCTGCCTTAGCCCTGCTGCGCCACCGACTGGGAGCCGCCTGAGGTAAATGCTGCCTGGCTGGAGCCTGCACCCCTCGCCACCTCCCGCACCCCAAGCCCCTGCCCCAGCCCTGAGCCCCCTCCCCGAGCAGCACCCCAAACCCTCTTCCACACCCCAAACCCCTGCCCTGAGCCCCCTCCTGCACCCAAACTCCCTCCCAGAGCTTGCACCCAGTACCCCTCCTTCACCACAACACCCTGCCCCAGGCTCAGCCCAGAGCCCCCTCCCACACACCAAACCCCTCAGCCCCAGCCTAGAGCTGCACCCCCTCCTGCACCCCAATCAAATGACCCAGCCTGGTGAAAGTGAGTGAGGGTGGGGGAGAATGAGTGACGGAGGGAGGGGGGATGGAGTGAGTGGGGAAGGGCCTCGGAGAAGGGGCAGGGTAGGGGCAGGGCAAGGGTGTTTGGGTTTGTTTAATTAGACAGCTGGCAAACCTACTCACCCCCCCCTGCCCTTAGAGACACCACCTCATACCCCCACCTGCCCTTAGAGACA